CAACATACTAATGGACAATATGTATCTGCACACTTTGTGACTGAACAGATGAAAAAGTTAATTACTTTTATAGGTCTGAATCCTACTCAATACAAGGGGCATAGCTTTCGTATAGGTGCAGCAACTAATGCTGCCAGCCTAGGCTATTCTGAGCAATTAATTCAAAAGCTGGGTCGTTGGAATTCAAATGCACTGCAGAGATATATAAGAATTGAATCTATTCGCATGTAAAATGTTGATGTTCAGTTGGAAAACACTAACTCATAATTATAAGGTGATGTCAGGATGTGCCTGGTCACCATTCTGATTGTTTTTCATAATTAGTCATTATATTTGATTAAATCATTAAAGGTATGAACATTGTTAGAAACTGGTATTGACTTTGAGGTCAGGATTTGCCTGCTCAAAATTCTACATGACTTTGTATATATGTTGTAAATTTTTATACATCCATTATATTTTGTCAATACAAGAAATAAGGTATTAAAAGACCTGTGAGTTATCAATATTTTATCATGTTCATATATTGATATGTTAAATTTTATATATGTATTTCTAATCTGATACTACTGATGTTTTTTGTTTTGCTAACATTTTCAAGTTTATGGTTTTGAAATTAAAAGCTCATTGAATGGCTGGCGGCTCAAAAGTGTAACTATTAATGTTCATTTTCCTCATGTGAACATACATTCAAGGCTTATTAAGCCTAATTACAGATATTAAATATGTATGCTAAGTGATTCTGTTATACAGACTGTTGAGGCCAGGATTTGCCTGCTCATTAACAAATAGTTACTTTTATAGTGTTATGTGTAGTACTTTTATAGTATATCTGAGGTACTTTTAGAGTTATATGTGTCAATTATATCGACTGAATAGTTAATATTTCATAACTCAAGACACACCTTGGATGGCGTGGGCTCATTCAGCTTTAAGTAAAACCTGTATTTCGCTTTGGCCTTTTTTGTACGCCACCTTTTTTGTAGGCTGGCTTTTTATCAGGGGAGTTAAATCAGGGGCATTTAAATGTTACCCTTTGTACGATTATCTCCCCTGTTGTTGTAAATAATTTTGATCGTCGTTTTTAATAAATGACATTTCGATTGGAATCTTTCTCCTTGTTACTAATTCGCCTCCAAAAAACCGAGCAAGGTGTGTCCTGACATAAGTGTTCATGCACTCAGATATTAAGTCATAGGGTGGTTTCTGTATTCGGTATCCTCAGCTTTGATATACATCTATTACGCTGATCACATAAGACATAAAATCTAATTTATATTATAAATTCATTTATGTCTATGTGGACAACTCCTATTTGAATTAAACAGTCAATTTGAACTGAGTGTAAATGGCATAATTATTTAATCTGTATTTTAACCAACCAATCAGATAACAGATATATTCTGAGGTAAATATTTTATCTGCGACAAGAAAGATCGCAAATTTTCTCTTGACAATTTTTGATCCCACCCCCTACCCCAATAACTTGCCACCTTGTACATTTAAATATGATGTGAGTTTTGTGATTTTAATTTCCATGATTTTTGCCATTATGTTGTTAATGGCTTTTTATGATATGCTACTTTTTGTAAGTGGCCTTTTTATGATACGCCACCTTTTTGTAAGTGGCCTTTTATTGATACGCCACCTTTTGTAAGTGGCCTTTTTTGTACGCCACCTTTTTTGTAGGCTGGCTTTTTATCAGGGGAGTTAAATCAGGGGCATTTAAATGTTACCCTTTGTAAAATTATCTCCCCTGTTGTTGTAAATAATTTTGATCGTCGTTTTTGACAAATGACATTTCGATTGGAATCTTTCTCCTTGTTACTAATTCGCCTCCAAAAAACCGAGCAAGGTGTGTCCTCACATAAGTGTTCATGCACTCAGATATTAAGTCATAGGGTGGTTTCTGTATTCGGTATCATCAGCTTTGATATACATCTATTACGCTGATCACATAAGACATAAAGGAATTTGTATATGTTTCCACGTTTAGTATAAAAAGCTCTGTTTAATGAGACGATGTAGTTGATAGTTTAATTGAGCGTGGGGAATAGAAGTTTAAAGGATAGTCAATTCAAATATTTTGATATTACTGCATTGTAAACATTGTATAGGAAATTGTGAATTAGATCTTTGTACTTTTTTGAACTTTTAAGAATCCACTTTTGATGGAGACTGCTGATTGAATATACCTCATCAAAAGTTAATTTTTGAATGCCATCGTTTACTGTAGAAAGAATGGCGGTAGGAACTTAAGATCGCTGTAAACTCAAACATCATGGCGACTGGCGTTTTATCGTTCTTTAAAAGGATTAGGGTAAAGTTAATGTGTTTAGCAAAACTAGAGATTCTAAAGAGTCTCTGTCGCTGACCTATGTCTGTAAGCAGCTTTAACATGGATACTTTCAAACATCCTGGACTAGAATATAATTCATGACAAAAATATCTTTTTTTTGTTGATTTTTTTTCTGTTTATAGTTTCACTGTATCTTCTCTACTTTTTGCCCAAAATAAAAAAGGGTTAAAAAAAATCGTTATTTAAGAGCAATTACTTCTACAAGAGTCAACTAACAATTTCGGAAAAAAATGACTTATTTGTATATCCTATCTTGCTGATCTTGTCTATCTATCTATTATGGTTTTCAAGATTATAGTCAAAAGCACTAAAATGTGTAAAAATCGTCATTAAAGAACGATAACTCCAATGTAGAGTCAAACGACGCATTCAGTAATAAGACTTATATGAAGATCTTGTCTTACTGAGATTTTTGCTCATTTAAGCTTTTGAGTATCTATTGTAGTTTTTTAAAGATAGACGAAAACTCAAAAAATGATCAAAATCGTCATTAAAGGGCAACAACTTCAACATGGAGTCGTTCGATGATTTTGGATTTGAGGTCTTATGCATAGAATTTGTATTGTTTATCATGTTTGTTTTTTTAAGTGTCTACCTATCTATTATAGTTTTAAAGAAATAAGGACGAAATATGCAATTAGGAATTGTCGGACAACTTCGACTATTGAATTTTATTTTTAGATTTTGCTATGTTGACAATTTTTGATTGTTGAGTTTCTTTCTATTTATCTATTAGAGTTTTTAAGGTTTAATGCAAGAACGCAAAAAAATTGGTAATACCTTTAAGAAAGAGTCGTTAGTCGATTTTGACCCTGTTAATTTTTGTTGTTGATCCTGAATTGTTCATCATTTAAGTTATTCAAATTTCTCTCCAGCTATTATAGTTTTCGAGATAATAGTAAAAAGAAATAAAACATTTTGTAAAATTCGTCACTTAAGGTAAATAACTCTTAAAAGAAGTAGTCAGACAATTTTGAGGAAATAGACAATAGGTATATCTCAACATACTGTACATTTTTGCTGATTTAAAGTGGTTTTCAAGATAATAGACACACATGCATTTTATCCCTTTGTTCTATTTTTAGCTATGACGGCCATGTTGGTTGGTAGGTTGACACATTTTTGTAAAAGTTAATGAACGATGGATACCAAGTGATGAGAAAAGCCTTTCTTGGGGCAGGTGAGTTAAAAATCAGACGTTTATGTTGTCTTTTTTTGGTGTTGATATGAAAAGGAGAGAAGGATGGATTTAGGATTTTCTAAACAACAATTTTGCTTTAAAAGAAATTATCTCTGCATCCCGCATTCCTAATTTTAATAGAGGAAAACTCTGCTAGATTTAATTAATCAATCTTATCTTATTGAATTTGCTTACCATGCTACTATTCAGCATGTTGCAATTAGTTAAATTGTCTTTTATTATTGCCTACTGAAATAAAAAACGATAAAATTAAGATTATACAGGTTAACAACCGGGGTAAACTGAAAATAATGCTTTACTAAAAAAAATAGAACCTACTACAATTTATTTCTAAGAATAGAACTGTTGATACTTGAGATATAGCTTTTTACCAGGCTTTGAGTGCAGTTTTTGTCGGATAAAGGAAGCTTTGTTTTATTAACGCTCACAAACATTTATATTGGAGGATTTTAGAATTCTTGTTTTAAAACGTCTACAACTATATTTATGGCCATTTTTTAAATCAGTTTACCGCGCACATTTTAAGGGGGGAAAATCCATCTATATTTAGGTTAAACTGTTCTAATTGATGTGTGGTTATAGCATTGCAATTCAAAGAGAAGTTATTGTTTTCCACGGTAGCAATTTTTTATTGTTATGAATTGAGGAAATACTATTCGTTCATTATCTTAGATATTTTCATTTTAATAATTGTCAAATTTGAATCCTTTTGGGGTTGTGAAATTTGTTTTCTAGCTGCAAACTGTTTTAAAAAAATCAGTCAGAAAAAACGCATCATTGGCCACAGGAATCATTTTTGATATCCAATCAGATTGTATATGATTGACTAAGTTATGGAAGTCATTTAATTGATCATTAGATATGCCTTTTGAAGTATCCTTGCAACTTAGAAACTTTAGATAAAAACAGAGGAACAAATGGCTAATTTTTATGAAGGTTGACATGTCCACAAGATCTAAGCAATTGTTGCCAATCACAAATAAAAAGAAAAGTTCTGCGATGCCAGCCTTCTTGCAAAGTTTAAAATTTAAAAGAATCTTTCAAGGAAACGGGTAAAAAGTTAAGCAGCAAACGATGCAAACCACGAATTACACACAGCAATGATAAAAGCTCGCCCGGTTTATAGATAATGTGAGCAAGGCGAATAAAACAGACAAAACGATAATTTAATACTCGATGAGACGGTCACATAAATCAGAAGGAAGGTAACATGTAAGGGAAACATTTCAAGATCAAATTAAGTGTTTTGTACAATTGTATGACTCTTTGGCAAGTTCTCCTTTCTGAACACTGAACAGAAATCAAAAGTATGTAAAATGAAATATGCACTTAGTAAAATGGGTCAGGGTTAAATGAATATTATTTAAAAGTTAATGTATCTCGTTGATTATTTCAATCGGGATAGACGATACCTTCCTTCCTCGGTTAATATGTATTCACTTAGGGTAGAATTATAACCAAACCTTTATCATGTTGTGACACCTTATTCCATGCAGCAGAACTCTCTGTACCAGGAACACCTAACAATAAAGTGTAGACAACTTAATAGACTTAATAACGAGAAACTGAAAAAAAAACATGTTATTGATAAACTAAATTTTATAAATTAAGGGATTTTTTCTGAGGCAATCGTATCATTAACCTAAATCGATATTTTGTTTTGTACATTTTTGAATTCAAATAATAACATTATGAAATATAAAGGTATGGCTATTTTGAGATCGTCACAGTATTTTCAATTATGTTTTTCGTAATTGTATCCGGTGAAATTCAACTTTAGGCTAACCTTATGTACGTCACGAATATCGGGTCGATATATGATGCATTTGTTATGGACAATGGACATGTTTACCTTGGATTTATTTACAAGATATATTCTGTTCAACAGGAGATACCGGTACTTGAGATATGTACCAGCGCCCATTACAGATGCATTATCTTTGATTGGTACGACGTTAGTAAAATATAAGTATTATTGAAATAGACAATAGCGAATAGATTTGAGTTGAATAGAAATTACTTATTCATCTAGAAAACCTGTTTATCACATTTTTTGGAGGAATTCATATTCCTTTATGTTTAGTTTTCTGTGTTTTGGTAACTATTTTTTTGGTGTTTTTTCTATGGTCAAAGTGTTTTAACTTTTGTGTCGTTTTGTTCGTCTACGTTTAATGATTACCGCTTTTCTTTCCTCACATTTTAGTTGTTTGCAAACATCTTAAGAACGTGATGTTATGGTTATTTTTTTTAATATTGTTTGCTAACTTATCTACAAACTTCCTTGACTCGGGAGTATTAGGAGCTTTATATATTGTAGAGACACTGCTCATGGTTGAAGACAGTGTGTTGCCTTCTTGGTGTCGTAATGGGTACCATAAAAGTATACCCAAAATCACCTATACTGCACATTATTAACCACAAAAGTGCCCACGCTAAAATGTCTCGCATGCTTTACTGACCATCGATTTTATGTTTAAAGTCTAAAACATAAAGGTTTAACTACAAGTATCACATAAACGTAACATTTTTAAAGATCCACGACAATGAGGTCAAGTTCAGATAAACCCTGTCAGACAGATACCTTACAATTATTGCTTACACCAAATATAGTTGACCTATTGGCGAATCTGCGTAAGGTAATTGAAAAACAGACCAAAACACATTATCTTAACATTGATCAATGAACCATTAAAATGAAGTCAAGGTCAGATGATACCTGCCAGACAGACATGTTCACCTAACAATTATTCCATACATTGAATAAAGCTGACCGATTGCTATTTGTGTTTGAAAAACAAACCAAACCAGAAAAACAAAGACCAATATCAACCATAAAAAATAGATCACGATTAGATGATATCAGCTGAACCGACATGTACATCATATAATCATTTCATACACCAAATATAAGTACTTGAAAAAACAGACCAAAAACACAAAAACATATCATTGACCAACGAACCATGAAAATGAGGTCAAGGTCAGATGATACCTACCACACTGGCTGTACCCATTATAGTTGACCTGCTGCTTGTATCTGATACAATATCCCCAATGAGCCTCAAATTTAGGAACACAAGAGTTATGCGTAGACAAAAAATGTCTGTGTAGTTATATTTGACATGTTTCAATTTTTAACAAGTGACTGAGCTTAAAGTCATATGAAACGAGTTTCTTGGAATTTTAATGTTATCGAAATTATTGAACCAATGCATGCATTTATACTAAACTAGTATTGCATGCACGTTATTTTTTATATTTATTTCATATGTATAACGTATTATCGACAAATAATATTTCATTCAGTGGTTGTTGATCGCAAGCTAATTAACTTTCGAGTTTGTTCCTGAGGTTTACCAGATCGTGACATTGATAAACATTAAAAACAGAGCACGTGGAAAGCGTGAGAGATAAGTGAATTGGAAGAGTGTATTGCGCATCTGTGCCCACCTGATAAATGGTCCTAATCACATAACTTTAACCTCGATCACTGATCTATGAAATACGGTCGAGGTCATGTGAACCCTGTCTGATGAATATTTTGACATTGCAAGGAACACATATACCAAACATAGTTATTCTTTAACTCATAATGAATTAGAAATTCACATGACAAAAAAAAACTATAATTTTGATCAACATGTCAAGGACAATGGCCATATGACAGACAGAAACTTAGTAACATAAAGTATCTGTATACAAGGTATGAAGCATCCATGTCTTCTACCTTCTGTATTTTTTAGTTTTTACAAATAGTTTACGCCGCCGCCGCCAGATGGTCATCCCTATTTCTCGCATACTGAGACTTTCGTCGCACGCGAGACAAAAATTATTCAAATATCAAGTTTTATGAAGGTCTAATTGTCAGATCGTATAGCGCCTCTATAGATATACCTTTGTATCCTTTGTTGCTTTGTTTGTCGATTTCACGAATTGCCGGAGTCTCAATACCTAAACTTGATTGCCCAATGTACTTCCTCGCAGGTGTTTCTTTGTTAGTGTCAGTAAAAACTATCCAAGGAATAAAAAACAAACTTTTAAGATAGAGATTAACAGATATGTTTAGTGAAGTCGGGAGTATCTTTTCAATAATTAATGAAGTTTAATAATCTAGTGTCTTCAGCGAATCGCAGTTGTGAAATATAATCTTTATTTCAAATTATGCAAAATTAAATAAAGTATTTTAAAAAATAACAGCATGGTGTAAATACTTTGTTTTCTGCTTGGGCTGATTGCTGTAATAAAACAATGGATCAAAAATTAAATGTTCAAGTACATTTATGTATTTCATATTTTCGTTTTAGTGCAAACGATTGTTTTTTTTAATTATTTAAAAGATATCGTCTTTCAGGTGATTTATATTTGAGCAGTTATAGTATTTCAGTTCATTATGCAAATTGAGAGGTGTTATTTCATGCCAATTTTGAGGTAGAGATTGTATTTAATGCTTGTGGTCATAAATGTGTCGATATTTTCTATACAAATGTACAGATGAAGTATGTTATTTGCGGATTCAATGTATATTTCACATATAATACAATAGGGTTATGCAATATGCAATTGATTATAATTGCTAACAAAAATGACGGCGGATAGCGATACAAAAAAAGAAGTTTTGACTACACCTTTCAATCATATTGCAATTATTTAACAATGGTGGAAGATAATTTAATGATGGCGGGGATCATTTGACTATGGCGGAAGATAAATTAACGATGGCGGAGCGCCATCATAAAACAGGGTATGGAGATCCCTAGAAGGGGCTATTTCAGTCGATCTTCTTCATAACTTTGTTGGAACATTTTTAATGTAAGGAGCACACTCCTGTTAATTTAGTCTGTAAAGTGTCAGCATGCATGAGCGTAACGAATACATTGAGATATACAAAAGCCATAAGATGGGCAGAAGGTATGTGACTACTGATAAAAAAAAGATAACGATTGGAAAGATGAAATAATTACGTTTAAAGATTCTTGTTTGAAGGCGTATACCTGTGTTAATATTGAGGAAAAGATCAAGATACGTAGCAAACTTTCTTCTTTATAAGTATCCTCAATCTCAAGTTAACTTGGATATATGAGATGTCATTTCGTACTGAAATTTGGATAATGTTGTGGACTTTATCAATGTATCAGAAAAATATTCACATGATCTTGTAGATGCCTTTGTTTTTGTTTTTGAATCCTGCTTTATATGATTATTACAACAATTAGTACCCATTGGAATACCAACAGTCTGTTGCATTATCAATCTATTAAACTCATCAATTATGTTGTCGGTAAAAAAAAATTATTGTTGGCAGCCGTGTGTTCTTAAAGGACATAAAGCAATCATTTTTCCTACAATTTCTTGTTTTGCGAAAAAAAGCTCTATTGAATGAGACGATGGAGGCTAGCTTTCAATTGAGCAAGGGTGATATGAGTGTAAAGTGTAGGAAAATGAAATCTTGTTATATGACATAAAAATTGTAAATTGGATTGAATATTTTAAAGTAAATCTCTAAGAACTTTTAAGAATCAAGATCTGATTGGCAACGTTAGTTCAATATACTTCATAACAATAATTCTAAAGGCCGTCTTCTACAATAGAAGTACTAGCCGAACATTTCTAGAAAGATGTTAGTCGAACATTTTGATGACCCAGCTATATGTCGTTCGTTCCTCACACGAATATTTGTAAAGTTTGAATATCCAGTAGAAAGACGAGAAATTTGAATCGTCCATTTTGATGGAGAGATGGAAGAATTTGAGATTTTTTGGGAGAAACAATAAGAGACAGATATATTTTGAAATTTTCGTTTAGAAATTAGTAGCCTTTCACAAAATACACAAGCAAGAGTGTATCATTAGAAATGTTCCTTTGTTTGCTTAAGAAACATTTTCTTATTTCTAAGAAGTATATGTCAATCTTTTGATCAGTCACTGAAGGAATTTTAATTCTGATTGGTATTGTTTTGGCATTGGATGGATATTTTCTATTTTTTGTAAATTTGTTGATTTAGAAATTTCAGAACTTGTGATGTTAAATTGTACCTTCTATAACTTAGATTTGGAAACATAAATCAAAACCGGATGTTTTGGTCGATTACAAAAAGGCTTTTAAGCAAAGCTCAAAAGACTGAGCAGGTAAGTTCGAAAAGACAACTATTACCAAGGAAATATATTGCAGATCCAAAATAACAAGGTACGAAGTTTAATTAGTAACAACGACCAAAGACTAGGGCTTGCTTTGACTTTTCCCGATTGTGATGTTTAGCTTCTTCGATTTATGGTCTAATATCACGCCTTGGGTTATGTAAATTTTGTAGAATCATTTTACGGAATGCGCTATCCGTTTATGGTTTATCATTAACAGTTTCTGTCTAATCATGCATAAGTCAAATTTTGTATCGTCACTGATGAGTCTTATGTATTGAGTACCAAATAATACACCTGGTTTCTTTTTACCACCAGATAAAATAACAAAAGAAGACTTTTAGAATATTTGGTTCTCAAAGCTCTTCACAGTGAGATAACCAGTGAATGAAAACAAAAGAAAATTCACTCTTCTTATGATATAGTCGAGAAAGTCAACAATAAAACAATACCGGTGACGATACTGATCAAAAGTTATTTCTAAATAATAATTGTACATTTTAAAGAAATTATTTGTTAAACTGTGTTATTAGAAATATACATGCAAAAACACAATGTTTTATGTTCAGTATTTATTGAGATAATTGCCTTAGAAGCCTGCGAAAATGAAATTTAAAAAATGCCAATCTTTCCTGCATATTGATAAAAAGAAATGGAAAAAATCATGTACATACAAAATCGAAAGATCTTTCGGGTCACCAATTTTCGAAATGTTCCAAAAAGTTCTTAGCATGTTACAATTTCCGAAAGTATGCTTATTTTTTCACACTTAAGTTATCGAGAACACCGGTCTGCTCTTATAACATGTACATTCAATAGAGAAATATTGTCTCTTCGTGAATACAAAAATTTAAAAGTCTGTCTGTGCAGGTTAAAAAATTAAAGATTACTATTTTTATAAAGCAGGTATTTTCTTCTTTTTTGTATATAATTTTAAGTAAAAGGTCGTCTCGAGTTTTGTAGAAGTATTTGCGGTCTTCTCGATCTATTCACATTCAATGTTTACATCGAGATAAGGTATGTTTGAATTTGCTTAGTAACTTAATTTCAAAAGTGCCAATCTTTGTTGCATATCAATCGATTTCTTTGGAATTTTTTCCCTGACTTTCTCTGACGTAGCTGCATATATATACGAAAAATTAGCATGTTCCAGAGAGGTATACAGACAGTAAAAAATAAATTGAAGTCGGAACTCCAGGAATTTATTCGCATAGCAACATTTCAAACCAATTTTAGAACAAGCTGCTATAGCTTGCTGTACTCTCCATATTTTTAATAAGCTTTGGATTTTCAAATATTTTAGCCTCGAGCATCCCTGAAGAGACATTGATTGTCGAAATGCGCATCTGGTGCAGATAACTTGGTACCGTTTATGTTATTGCTACTTAAGAAGGAAAATGATAACATTGAGTAGAAGTTTTGTTTTTATTTCAACTTATTTCTATTTTTACTATTTACCAGAACGTTTTCCCGTGAAATCATAATTGACAGCGTCCTTGCTAAAATCTCTTGAGAAGATCTAGTTTTCAGTGTTTACAGAGGAGGTCATATTTTGTCACTAGATTTCCCACTGTTCCACCTCATTCTTGATTGGCTATAAAACTTTTTTGATTCGAGCGTCACTGATGACTTTGATGTAGGCTAAACACGCGCATCGAGTTCAAAATTGTAAGCCTGGTATCTTTGGCGAGTTTTACAACCACTGGGCCGACGTTTTGGTCCGGATAATATCACAAGCCGAGAATTCTGCACTTTTGTGTTGATAGAAGAAATTAACCCAATTGCACCATTTACCCCCCCCCCCCCCCTTCCACACCCCCCCCCCTCCCCCAGATTTTGTAATTTGCCATCATACTCATCTTTCAACATAGTTAACACAAAACGGTCACAATGTATATCAACAGATAAATATCTAGTGAAAAAACTAAAATCTACAGAAACGTTGCATGCAACAACCAAATAAAGTAAACTTTTAAAAATGAACAATTTAAATATATTAAAATATTTCACAGGCAAACATTTTTTTACTTTTTACAAAACGCATAGTATGCATGGACTATTGCCAAATTGTTCTTAAAATCTGGAGAAATGAAACAAAACATCAGTTATTTGATTTTTACGGATGCCAAGTTATGCATGTATGCAATTTAGGTACTCCTTATTAGAGATAATCGTGTGTCGTTTTGAGGTCGGTTTGAACCCATTTTTCTATGATTAAGTATAGATTCAAAATTTTTGTGGAACTTTAAAGTAAAAAGGAGTGCATCTACGAGATACACACAGAATGGGAAATTTTGTCTGTTTCTTAAATAAAAGAAGATGAAAGAACTATAAAATTTGGTGCAGTTTTGATACCCTCACGTTACAAACTAGATTTTGCCTTCCAACTGTTTTGATTTGTGCGTCACTGTTAAGTCTTATGTACACGAAACACACGTCTGAGGTAACAAATTGTAAGTCTGGAATCCTTGATGAGATTTTATTGCAGTGTTTAAGGCCGTTTGTCATATGTGGTTAGGTAACTACACGATAGATGTATACCTACTAACATCCCAGATTTAGCACACTCTTAAACAAACAACTCTGTTGTTAGATTAAGCAAAAGTTTAAATTGTCACATTGTTATGAGGTATTTTACCTTTACCTTTGTTTCCTTTGTTGTCGATGTTATGAGTCTCCTTGATATAATAAGCTTGCTCGTTGTCCTTTTTTGAGGCTGTTGCTGGGTAAACGGTTGTTATCACTATGTTTGTACAACAGGATAAATGACATCAACATATATGCAAGGTAAAGTCAAAATATTTTTTTACAATAAATATCAAACTTTAGCACAATAAATTAAGAAAAAATGCATATTCACAATCTTTTTGTTACTTTGTTTTTTGTAGCCTGAACAAAATGTTTCATAATCAATTCCCTAATTGCATACTTAGAATTCTTTCATGAAACGCAAGGAATCTAAATATAAATGTTTAGTTAATTTTACATTTAAAGTTAATCATTCTTTATTTTTTTTAAAGGACTACCCTTAATGATCTAGCAGTGTGTTTATGCAGTAAATGCATTTAAGTTTAATATGTATTTTGTGATGAGTTGTTTTTTTATCTTTTCGAACACATACCATATTAGAGCATTTTTGATGACCCCTATTTCGTTTTATTTATCTGGGTTCGAAAAAAGGGACATGTTTTCACCAAAAATTACTCAAAGTGACAAATATTTCATACATATCTAGGACTATGACAATCTCAAAAGATGTTGAAACCGTTAATAAAATTGTATTGAGCAAATCTTTTGTTCTATCATAAATGATGATGTTTTTATGTGTTCTTTTATAATAACAGACACTATTGATACAAAATATTGCAATTTTATGATTTAGTGTACAATCTGTTACTAAAAATAGTCGTTGTTAGGGTCTAGACTACTTCCAATTGTTTAGATTCTGAACTACAAACACAAAGGAAAGTATTTAAGTCAATACCACGATATAGCTCCTTTTCGAAACAATTTAGGTAATAAGGCATCCAGAAATGTTCCTGTCAACAATGGGCATTAATGAGAGATTGACGTCTATTTTAAACTTTGAGGGTCACCTTTAATGGAAACTAATACGATATGAAAACTTAAATAGAATTTGGGATTAAAGTTTCGAATATTATTCCATATGATGGGATGGGGGGTGGCTTGTAATGAAATATGTGGTAGCGATGGGCCACTGGAAATCACCAGATACATGCATGACGATGTCAACAAACGTTCGGTATTTTCAGGATTTGATGCACATGACAGGAGAACAGTTAATCGGATGCAAGAAATTAAATTCAATGTAGTTTTCCTTGTATATGTATTTGAAAGGCGTAGGTATATGTGCTGTATTTGTTTCTTTATCAGTCTTACTTTACCGCGTCTTTTCAAGAACCAGACCGTATTGTTTATAAAAACTCAACTCGGAGCCAAAACCTAATTTAAAACAATAAAGCATCTGATATAGGTCCAAGAGACATACTTGTAAATACTTATGATAATAACATGAACAAAATTTGAAAAATTATTTAACGGTTAGATTGAAATACTTACAGGCCAATGAAAAGGCAGATACCAATAATACTACAAATACTATTAAAGATTTCAAGCCAACCAAACCATTAATATGTCCTGAAAACAGAATAAATAAATCTTTTAAATAAGTCAGTAAAAGAATATTTCTTTAATTTCGTCTTTTTAGTCCTAGAAATATTTGTATATAATTAGATCAAAGTACACGTAACATGGCGCTTTTTTCGGATATTTACGAGAACTGCACCTGAATAGCAAAAAATCATATATGTAACGTAAACAATTTCACAGATACACTAAATTGATGTTTTGATTGATTCGTTTGATGTGTTTGAGCTTTTGATTTTGCCATTTGCTTAAGGACTTTCTGTTTAGAATTTTCCTCGGAATTCGGTATTGTTGTTATTTTACTTTTTGAAAAGTTGTTAAATAGTTCAATAAATCTTTGGAGTATAAATAATTTAACAAAATTCAGAGCATCCATAATAACATTATGTAATTGAAGGGAATACAATTAGAGTTAATAATAAGTTCCTCATACCGCTTCATTTGTCATTGCCTTACTGGAAATATTAGAAGATATATAACGCTTTGCAAATTGGTTGAGTAATATTTTTTTTCTTTTTTTTTGCATTTATGTTACGATTCCTGAAAACTAAAGGAAATTGTATTACAACTAAGATTTTCCATAGTCTGCAATGTCGAATGTAAATAAATCATATTGATCTTCAGTGTTATTGCGGTCATAAAGATGCCATTGGAGTATAAAAAGATCATATGAAAAAAAAAACTTTTCTTTAAAATAGTAAATAAAGGCAACAGTAGTATACCGCTGTTCAATAGTCATAAATCAATTAAGCGAAAAACAAATTAAAAACTAAAATCGAGGGAAACACATCAACTATAAGAGGAAAACAACGGAACAACAGAAACACTGAATTGCACAAAAACAAAAGCCAACATACATAGAAACAGACTATTTGATAACAACTGCCATATTCCTGACTTGATATAGGAGATTTAAAAAAAATGGTGGATTGAACCTGGTTTTATAGCTAGCCAAACATCCCGTTTATATGAAAAGGTTAAAAATACCACCGCTAAAATGACAACAATCCTTGGCAGGAATACAGAACAAATAAACACTCAGAACAGAGAAATACATAAATAGATAATATTATACAATATAAAAACCGCAGAATACCAACGGACACCTCCCATGAATTTACGACAGCACACCAGAACACCACAAACGAAGGGAGTCTTTAGCCTTCACATTTGACAGTATAAAATTATGAAATAAACTTGTTTGTTTATACTTATACATGATTATATGATAGCAATGGATTGTTTAACCATATTAATATCAATCTCTTTTTTGAAAAATTCATAACAATTGCAGATAGAATTATGATGTTCAGCAAATATCTCTTCAGGAAAAACATAATGCAGAGAAACATTAGAAAGTAAATGCTTGAAATCGAATAACCCGCAAATCTTAAGCGCAATACTTACACGTGCATATACAAAATACTATACAAATATGAAGATGTGTTGTGATTGTCGATGAGACTTCTCCCCACCACAGACCAAAGGACGTTAAAGCCAGCAACTATAGGTAACCGAATGGTCTTCAACAATTAGCAAAACCCACTACTTTACAAGATGAAAATAAATAGTAGCAACATATGGACGTTTTGCAAAGAAGGACAAGAGACCATAGAACATGTATTTTGGAGCTGTCCGATGGTCGCCAGTCTCTGGCACGCACTAAACATCTGGATTTTTGAAAAGACAAATATTGAACTGCCTTTGAATATAATGATTATTCTATTTGGTATCTACGAAAATGTTAAATTGAATTTTGTTAAAAATAAGATTATTCTGCTTTCAAAATACTATATTTACCGAACAAAATTACAAGAAGTTTTGCCAAATTTAAATGCTTTAAAACACTATTTAAAGGAACACTTGAACTTAGAAAAATACATTTCATTTAAAAACCTCTCTGTGGATGAATATAACAAATACTGGCGTCCCTGGGCCCCTATTATAGAATAAATAATAAATGTCGAATTTTGATTGAAACACCACTAATAGATATTGTAAGAACAAATAAGATTCCAATGTTATAAGAAAATTATTTATTTTCAACCTATTGTTGCACCATCATATATTCAATTGTTGTTTAATTATTTAATACTTCCTTTGTGTGAATATGTCATCCTGTATACCTTTGTTCATACATGTTGTGCTAGTCTATTTGTTACAATAAAGAAAATTCATTATAAAAAAAAAAAAAAAAACCCACACCGCATAGCAAGCGATAAAAGGTTCAATTCAAACGAGAAAACTTACGGCCTGATTTATGTACAAAACAATAAACGAAAAATAAATATATACAGCAACAAACGACAACCATTGAATTGATGGAAACTTGTCTTGTGACAAGCACATACTGAATGTTGCAGGGTTTAACAAGTTTACCCAACCCGCCCCAAACCTCAAACAGTCATGTAACAGCACGACATATAAACAATCTATACAAATCAGTTTAAAAGGATTGACTCGTCTGATCTACACAAAACACACACAATAAATAACAAACAAAAAGACTTAAAGATAATCGCTACTCTTGTTTTTTACTTTTTGTCAGATATTCGAAATTCTCTGGCTTTATCAATTTAGTGCCATTTAAAATTTTGCCAGCTAACACCTATTTTTTCTTTTTATAGTTTTGAAACATATTGTTTAAAAAGTTATTTTATTTAAATTTCATAAATCCTTGTTTTTTTCATTGTTCGAAAGAAAAAAGGTAGCGAAGATCATATCACGCCAAATATTCAATTGATTATATCTAGAAAAAAAAAAAAAAAAAAAACACTGACCTATAATTGTGTCTGCTTTTCAAGTTCAGTTATTTATATACTATCAATTTATAACATCCTTATATAAGCTTGTTATTTTGAAACCGAACATCAAACATCCTAAAGACAAACAGTATCAACCGGAGTGTATTTGCATTAACTGGCAGCTATATCAACGCAAAGCATAAAAGAAATCTACTACAAGCTAAAAATGCATTAAAGACTAAAATTATCAATCAGTACACATCCAATGGATAAAGTGTAAACAAGTCATAAACAGTCTGAGAAAAAAAATAATCTTGTGCACAGCTATATAGCAATAATATTAAGTTATGTTTTAATTTATTGATAACAAAATCAATGTTTTACCCCGTCACACTTTTGTTTTATACATAAATCATGTCATTATTTTTCTCGTTTGAATTGTTTTGCATTTGTCATTCCGGGACTTTGTATTGTGTTTTGGGTTTTGCTCATTGTTGTTGGCCATACGGTGACCTATAAAATTGAGAATGGAAATGGGGAATGTGTCAAAGAGACAACAACCCGACCATAGAACAGACAACAGCAGAAGGTCACCAACAGGTCTTCAATGCATCGAGAAATTCCCGCACCCGGAGGCGTCCTTCAGCTGGCCCCTAAACAAATATATATACTAGTTCAGTGATAATGAACGCCATACTAAACTCCAAATTGTACACAAGAAACTAAAATTAAAAATAATACAAGACTAACAAAGGCCAGAGGCTCCTGACTTGGGACAGGCGCAAAAATGCGGCGGGGTTAAACATGTTTATGAGATCTCAACCCTCCCCCTATACCTCTAGCCAATGTAGAAAAGTAAACGCATAACAATACGCACATTAAAATTCAGTTCAAGAGAAGTCCGAGTCTGATGTCAGAAGATGTAACCAAAGAAAATAAACAAAATGACAATAATACATAAATAACAACAGACTACTAGCAGTTAACTGACATGTCTGCTCCAGACTTCTAACCTTCTACGTCATATGGTCTCTTGTGGATAGTTATCTCGTTGGTAATCATACCACATCTTCTTATTTTTATTTTGTAAAATTAAATCAATATTCAAATATATCATTACAGCGTTTAATTGCTAAAATAAGCTCAACTAAAGGATCGTTACTAAATTTTCGGTCTCTATAAACAACATCATCTCAAGAATAAGGATGTGATATCCTGTTTGTTATAAGCTTTCTACAAGTACAGCCAAATTTCCGAACCAAATCTTAGTATCTATGAAAGAGTTTTAGTAAATGGTATAAGTAATTTTTGACGACAAAATCCCTGATTTAATAATTTTCAAGTATTACACATATAACATTCGTTGAAAACACCACAGACACGGGCAAAGCGAACAAGGTCGGAAATATAAACAGCGTAAGATGGGGCCAAATGAACATCTCCTTTCCAAAATGGGAAATTAACAATCGGGAAGGAAACACTGTCCCTTTGTGAATAAGCATCTTCTGCTATGCAAGCACCATCCGTTACAGTTTTCCAAAGGAAACACACACAACTCCTTCGGTTTTAAACAACTTGCAGCTGCTGCTCAGACTTTATAAAACGTCACCAGTGTCTGAGCAGAAAGTTGATGAACCAGGGTTATGTCAAAGAACGTCTCATTCTTTTTTTAAAACGTTTATCTGAAGAGACAGAAACCTTGCTGATAAATATTCCGTATCAACTTCAACAGATGATACATGATGGTCTTAAAGTATAGATTATATGTACAAACGTTTTTTACCATCCTAAATACGTGTTATAGTGTTCTTTTTATTTGTCTTTATATATTTTTATTAGTTTGTTTTTTTAGGCAATACTCTTTTTGCGTGGCTCGGTATTTATACATCATACCATTGTGTTATTGTGGTATAGTCAATTTTTTTTATTCTCGTCTTTCTTTTTGGCTTATGTGCTTTGTCTACAGAGAGTCTTTATGCCATTTTGTTTTTCTTTATTGTATAGTTGTTTGTTTTATAGTGAATAAGAAAATAACACAATGATGACTGCTATACCCCTACTACCTATTATGTCTGTTTGTTTTGATTACACATTGTTGTCAATATAATGGAATTTTATGCGGTTGTCACATAAGTGAGAGGTTTGGCTTGCTATAAAACCAGGTTTAATCCACCATTTTATACATAAGGAAATGCCTGTACCAAATCAGAAATATGACAATTGTTTTCCATTTTTTTGATGTGTTTGAGCTTTAGATTTTGCTATTTGATAAGAAACATTCGTTTTGAATTTTGACATTTTGACAGCCCACAAGGTAGACATATCATAGAGTGAACATGTCACATTGAAACATCAAAGATATAGAAACCATCACGATGTCGACCATAGAACGTAAAAAGAGTTTTTCTACCGTTTTTCCTCATAAAATTGGTAGTAGAGAACGTTTTTCGTTACAAATTTACTTCTTTCAGATATTTATTCATACATACCTTCTTTTCCAGAGACAACATTGTTTAGATTAGTCACGACAAAGGACGCATTATGGTTTGCATGTTCCTTGTCTGTCACTGTTCTGCAATGGTTATACGTGAATAACATGTACTTATTTAAAAACATAGATTAAATGTTTAGCTACATACCAACCATTTATGAAGCTAGAATTATAAAACGCTCCTATCTAGTTTCTTCAACAAGGTTCGTGATAGACATTTGTTTAGTCAATAAACTTCTTGGTTGATCTTTTATTCCAGTGGTCTTTCCAAATTAGGTACATAAAACGTATTGTCATTATTCACCTTAACTAGTCCTCATAAAAAGCTTTTACGTGACATTTGTCTAAAAACTAATTTGAAAGTTTAATCTTCGCAAAAAACTACTAATATGACATACATATATGAACTATTTTGCCCATTTTTCATTACATGAAAATATTTGTACCAAAAAAAGTAAAATAAGATGTGTTTACCTATAAACGTTTATTCCCATTCCGTAATTCAATGGGTAAATATAGTAACAGGGAACAGGTTATCTTATGATGTATGTAAAAACTAATGAGTTGCGTTCTGATTTAACGGTTGGAAGGCCACACAATGAGAAAGAAGAAAGGTATTAAAACATTTTCTTCCCCCGAAAATGTGTCAAAGCTTGCTTAGTTACTGTGCCTGTGTTGAAAAAACTCATTAAAATATCATGATTATAATTTAAAATGCACGTATTTGGGGGTTTTTTTTTTTGGCAAGAGACTCAATAATGGTGCTAGATCAAAACAGCTCGATTGCTTTATGAATGCGGAAATTATATGATGTGCGCTTCCGTTTTATGTATGCATAAAATGAAACTTGAGAAAAAAATCACCTCAGATTCGAAATTTTAAAAGTAACCACTATTGAACTTACACAACATGGTAAGTACTGTTTCCAAGTAATACTGTTAAAGTTTTACATTCATAATCTGAAAACAACAGTAAAAGATGATAATATTATCAATTGTATATTTTTGATACATGCATAAACAGTTTTGACTGGGTAGCGGTATTAGTTCGTAATTTTTTGAATGAATAAAACTACAAAAACACTCAAGACACAACTGTAGCAGGAATCAATGTAGACAGTAACAAAATGGGTGTGCTATACTTGCCTTAAATTTATTAAATGACGTAAACAGTGGAACTATGAAAGAGTGATACAAATATATATATATGATGTTTTTACGTTCGTTTACCTTTTAAGTGCAATGTCTTATGTAAATGCATATAGATTTTTAACGTTTTTTTTAAGTTTAATTATACTGTATGCAATGTCTTGTGGAAATTATTTTTACCGGCTTTCTATGTACGTTGGCGTTTGTTTTTGTTACACTTCAGTATTTCTGTTGTTCCGTTGTTTTCCTCTTATAGTTGATGTTTCCCTCGGTTTTAGTTTGTAACCCAGATTTGTTTTCTCTCAATCGATTTATGACTTTTGAACAGCGGTATACTACTGTTGCCTTTATTAAGCAAACAATCATTCTCAAATTATCTTCAATTGGACAAGACAGAAGTAGCGCTGGATATAAAATGGTCTTTGGTCCGTGTGTTAACATTGAATTATCTTTATACCAGATACCGTTGTTTTATTGCAATTACATTGGCACAATATCCCACAATTTCCTTTATTCATAAAGGTATATAACTTTTGCTCGACCATGTTCACACAATACGGACATTGTTAACAGGGGTGTTCTCTTTACAAAAACTGCTCTTACGAAGTTATTAGGAACAACGGCTCATCACGAACCATCACGAATTGGTTGTCCGATACGATGTTTAGGTTTCTCAACTCTCTAGTGACGACATGATTTCGGGGTTTGAGATCTATAGGTACCAGTATAGTTGTCCGGTCTTTAATTTCACCGATGTTTTTTCCTACTCCCGATTGTGACATTTATACTGATTGTAGATTCGAATGTCGAGTGTTGCGAGCATATCAGGAGCTGCACCCGATTTCGATCTATTAAGTGTTCATGCGATTCCAAAATCCAAAATGGAAGATACTGGTTGCATATATACAGATATATCTTTTGGGTGGGTTAATTATAATTGTATTTCCTAAATATGGAGTGCAATCTGTTTTAAGATAATCCACTTTGAGTGATACCTTTTTCAAAAACTATTGATATTAATCTATTAACTGATCAAATATGAATTGGGTGCAACGAAAAGGTGGATAAAACATATAAATAATATTTGGGCCAATGTCTGGTATCGATATGAAAATCCGGACTGTAATACACAAAAAATCCAAAAATACATACATTACACATTCCGGATGTTCATATAAACCTACTTCGAATGCAATATTAATCTTCAGCTTTACAAAAAAAGAATTTATTGCACACTTACTTTTATATTTGAAAAATCAATCGGGGCCAAAATGCGAAACCTCACACCTAACTATTGAGTGCTACCATTGATATTTCTGGAAGTAAATGATTGGGCAACACCTGATTTTTATAAGAGGGTAAACTTCCCACTTATAAGACAGCTGTTTGTTTATAGTTCCGTTTTATTGACACAATTGGGTGAGCAACGAAAATAGACATACTTGGTTAACGTCACAATAAAAAGGATCCAGCGAACAAAACAGTCTAAACATTCATCACAGACATACAGCACAACTGCCTTAAAAAATGAAAACAATCATACAAAAATATCTGACAAAGAAATCAACAAAACAAGTTTTTGTAGTTGATAGTACACACAGTATAGTAAAACAAAATGATTTATACATTTTCCCAATTAAGTAGACATTTTGTATAAAAATCCGTGTTTGCTACAAACCAAAATACATATATCAATACCCATGTACGTTGCCTATTAAAGTCTTTTAAAGACGTGTAAGCACTAAAATATATATCACTCTGAAGAAACAGACACTGCAGAGCCCTGAGAATCGTTTACTAGCGCAAACCATGATGATTTATTTCAAATCTTCAAGCGTAAGGGACTGCATTTCATCCAGTGTAATGTACAATCGCTTTTTCCAAAATTGTCAGAAATTAAAATAGTGGCAGCTAAGACAAACGCAGCTGTAATCTCTATTACAGAATCATGGCTGGACAATACAGTAACAAATGCTGAAATACACTTCGAAGGATACAACATTGTGAGACTAGACATATCTAGAAATGGTGGAGTAGTGTGCGTATTCATCAGGGACGACATTACGTTTTCGCCAAGACAAGATCTTCATGATGACAGACTTGAGGCCCTCTGGATAGACATCTTAATACCAAAAACCAAGCCGATTAGTATTGGGACTGTCTACAGACCACCAAAAGAGGCGTCTATTCTTGTTTACTTTGAAGAAATACTAAATAAAAGAAATGAATTGTACATTGTTGGTCATAAAAATATATATGTTTATTACATAACAGGTCATAATTTAATATAAATTTATATATGGATATTTTACAAATGTCAAATTTGGAGCAATTGTTATGCGAACCAACCGGAATAGCTGAAAACAGTAAAACATTGTTAGATCTTGTAATTGTGAATTCAGAGTCAGTCAGTCAGGTGTTATTCCAATTGTTCTAAGTGTTCATTTTATGAAATATTTTACTAGAAAAATTGAGAAAAAATCAAACTCAGATAGTGGAGGAAATTTAATCAAAATAAGATATACCAAAAATTACACTAAAGAAGAATTCTGTCAAAAAACTAAATGTTGTTGATTGGTCTGAATTATATATATTTATGTAAAAAAGTAAATGGAACTTGGGTAAAATTGAAAGATATTTTCAATTCAATTTTAAATGAAGTAGCTCCAAAAAGAGATATCAAGGTAAAAAACATACAGAATCTTGGATAACTTCTGAAATTATTGAAAAAAGAGATCAGCTTTTGAAAATGTATAAAAAAACAAAAAATAAACATCTTTATATATAATGATTATTATAAATGCATACATAAAACCCAGTGGGAGGTAAACAAAGCTAAGTTGTCATATTTTGAAAATAAAGTAGAAGAAAATAAAAATAATCCAAAAAATATCTGGAAACAGTTTAAAAGTATGGGTTACAGTAATAAACAGACGGAGAAAAGTAAAGTTGTACTCAATTAGATAATGAGAACTGCCATGACTCAAATACGGTGGCTAACTATTTTAATAACTTTTTTACAACTATAGCTGATAATGTAGTATCAAAATTACCACCAGTTCCAAAAGTGTCTGCTATCAATAAAGACATTTTTATTTTTTTTATAATATTGTTAGATGTAATTATTTGAGTTTTAAATTAAAACCTGTGACTGTAGAATATATTCTCAAACAGTTACAACAACTCAATCCAAGTAAAAGTACTGGATTAGATGGAATACCATCAAGGTTTTTAAGAAATGGCTCGAGTATTTTAGCAAAATCAATTACATATATAGTTAATCTGTCGATAACTTCAGGCATAGTACCTGATGAGATGAAAACAGCTTGAGTGTGTCCTATCTATAATACAAAAATAACGAGGTCTTATTTGTTAGCCGGTATGACGTTCAAGCGAAGAATCAAAGAATTCTACTGTATATATATATTACTAAAATAGGACAATGGTGTTGATTAAAAAGTGCACCATTCCAGGCCCTTTTGTTTTCCGCATTATTATTATTACCAAGAATTAACAAGTTCCGGGTCGAATCCGATACCGATACCAATAGTATATGTCACATGTAGTTTCCGGTTTTATGCATGTTCTGTATCTTGCTCCTTTGATAGGAGCATCATCATGGGATATGGTGTAAAGGAAGATATTTAACACACTGTATCGGTACAGATTTAATGTGAGCATTTTCCGTCCCAGTTTCCCAGCGTGGCCGTGACTGTTCTAACTACCAGAAAGTAAACCTCCAAATAAATCAATAAGTACAATGCAATAAAATATATGAACATACTTTCGCCTGATTCGCTCATCCTCAAAATATAAAAATTGAAAAATATAAAAACAATTATATACAGAATAAGGGATAATGTTGTAGTATGAACGGGATAAAACTAGAGGGCCCAAGGAGCCTGTGTCGCTCACCTGATATTTTTGTTTACAATGGATGCATGAAACAATGCAACAATAATACTGTTTTAAAGGAATCCGTGTGGATCAAAATCTAATCTTTCGTTTGATTTTAACTGCTTTCAACCCATTTATCATTTTAAGTTTTCAAGGTTAAAACACACATTTCAAGTGAAACTTCAAAAATACACTGTTGACATTTCAATATTAATCATTAATTTGTAGATCTTGTCTTGTTGATCATTTATTCCTGTTACAGTTTCTTTCTATCTATTATACTTTTTAAGATATCAGCCTAAAACAGCAGAAATTGGTAGAAATCGTCATAAAAGGGCAATAACTCAATGAAAAGTCGTCTGATGATTTCGGCCATGTTTGACTTATTTGGAGATCTTGTTGAACTGATCATTTTTGCTTATTTAAGTTTCTAAATACCTGTAATTGTTTTCAAAATGATTTGCAAAAATAAAAAAAAAATAATAAAATTTGTCATTTAAGGACAAAAACTCCTATAAGAAGTCATCTGACTGTTTTGACTTTGAGACAGTAGGTAAATCTCAACATTGTGAACATTTTTGCCCCTGTTAGATTTTCGCTACTCATATCAGTTTTCAAGATAATAGACACAACTTCCATTTTACCCCTATGTTCTATTTTTATCCTAGGCGGTCATGTTGGTTTGCAGGCGGGGTCATCGGAGACATTTTTTCAACTAGATACCCTAATTATGATTGTGGTCAAGTTTGGTTCAATTTGTCTTTGTAGTTTCAGAGCAGAACATTTTGGTAAAAGATTACAAAAATTTACAAACAATTGTTAAAAATTGACTGTAAAGGGCAATTACTCCTTAAGGGGGCAATTGACAATTTTGATCATTTAACTTATTTGTAGATCTTACTTTGCTGAACATTTTTGCTGTTTACAGTTTATCTCTATCTATAATAATATTCAAGATAATAACCAAAATCTGCAAAATTTGTTTAAAATTACCAATTCAGGGGCAGCAACCCAACAATGGGTAATTTGATTCGTCTGCAAATTTCAGGGCAGATAGATCTAAACCTGATGAACATTTTTACCCTGTCGTATTTGCTCTAAATGTTTTAGTTTCAGAGATATAAGCCATAAACTGCATTTTACACCTATGTTCTATTTTTAGCCATGTCGGCCATGTTAGTTGGCAAGCGGGGTCATCGGACACATTTTTTAAACTAGATACCCTAATGATGATTGTGGCCAAGTTTGATCGAATTTGTCTATGTAGTTCCAGAGGAGAAGATATAATAATATTCAAGATAATCATGATAATAACCAAAAACTGCAAAATTTCCTTAAAATTACTTGTTCTGGGGCTGCAACCCAAAAACGAGTTGTCTGATTCGTCTGCAAATTTCAGGGCAGATAGATATAAACCTGATAAACATTTAACATGTCAGATTTACTCTAAATGCTTTAGTTTCAGAGATAATATAAGCCAAAAACTGCATTTTACCCCTATGTTCTATTTTCAGCTATGGCTGCCATGTTCGTTGGCAAGCGGGGTCATCGGACACATTTTTTAAACAAGATACCCATATAATGATTGTGACCAAGTTTGGTGAAATTTGGCCCAGTAGTTTCAGAGACAAAATTTTTTCAGGACAGGTGAGCTAAAATAGAATTTGAAGATAGAGAAAACTGTGCACCTTATATTCAGCATGATTTTATCAGATGACAATACGAATACTAAAAATCCAGGCTAAAATAAGTCGTTGGTACTTTAATTTAGTCACGGACCGCGGGTGAGTTCTAGTATATAAGAAAAATAGCAGGTTGGATGTTGGAAATTATCGACCAGTTAGTATTTTAGTAGTTGTTTCTAAGATTGTAGAAAGATCAATATATTTACAATTTGAGAAATATCTGGTGGAAAATAATTTATTTTATAATTTACAATCTGGTTTCAGTTCTGCTTATTCCACATATATACATGTCTGATTCATCTGTTAGATCATATTAAACATGAATTAGCTAAGGAACTCTATACTGGAATGATAATGTTAGATTTTCAAAAAGCCTTTGACACAGTCGACCATCATATTTTGTGTCACAAACTACAAATAATGGGTGTCAAATGTACCAAATGGTTTGAATCATATATATATGAAATAGACAACAAAAAGATAATTTTAATGGTACTATAGCTGAGTCTGATTTAAGATATATTACATGTGGAGTACCACAAGGGAGTATTTGTAGGGCCACTATTATTCCTGTATTATGTTAATGACATGTCTATAAGCATTAGCAAAAACTGCAATATATTGTTATATGCTGATGATAGTACCATATTATACTCTCATAAGAACCCAGAAGTTATATTTCAGAAACTGGGTAAGGAACTTGAATCTTGACGTAATTGACTGATCAATAATTATCACTTCATTTGGGGAAAACAGAAACTATTCTGTTTGGGTCTAAACGTATATTATCTTAAATTTGTAACTTTGACGTTATACTTGTAATAATCAAACAATTTTATCAAAGAATTGTGTGTAATATTTAGGCCTGAATATTGATAATTCTCTTTCTGGAGAAAAAAAAAATTAAATAATATCATACAAAAGATAAACTCAAAATTGAAGTTCCTATACAGACAGGCTAAATGTTTATCATAACACTCTAGAAATACTTTAGTTACAGCTTTAATTCAATGTCATTTTGACTATGCCTGTTCTGCATGGTATGCTGGTGTAAGGAAAAAATATAGAGATAAGCTACAAGTATTACAAAACAAGTGTGTTAGATTTATAAAAATACTGGATATAGATCAAAAGTTGACCATAATGTATTGAATAGTATTGGTTATGTTTATATTTAAAATCGTGTTAAACAATTGAGATTAAACCATGTTCATAATATTCATTACCATCATTGTCCTAGTTATATGTATACAAATTTTACAAAGGTGAGACATTTTCATCATCATTTCACAAGAAGTTGATTAACCTTAAATAGCGTAACGGATTATTCAAACAACTGCTACATCTCAATGACATGTCTTTAGTTAATTATATTATAAATTGCTGGTATCTTCGAAGATAGGTGTATAACCATTTTTTAAAGCACTGATTTTTCTTTCTTTCATTAAAGTGCTTACCTGGATTTAGGTTTTGACCTTCTACACAACGTTTACTGTAACAACTGCAGTCCTCTTGTGATGGAATACATGCACTTTGATTTTGCGGTCTTATTACAAATGCAAATCCTCTGTTGTAATCACAGCGACAAACTTTGTTACCAGTTGTTGTTCCATCGTTAACTTCAACTTGACCGTCTGATGAACACATTGACTTTAGATATGTGCATTTATAACGTTCATTGGACCTGAACAAAAAAGGTTGATAAGAGGAAACCGGACAAGTCTCGTAGTCGATGTATCGGCCTCTTAATACTGGATAGTTACCTGTATTTGTAGTAAACAACATACAATTAGTATTTGTATTTTTGTTACTTTGGCATTTTCACTTAACAAACATTGGCTTTTCTTTTCCAATTATTATGACTTTATATATTATGAAATAACACAGCTTGTGTTCCCATATAAACAAATAGCCCTTCTGTATACATTACATCTTCTGATAAAGAATACCATGAACAAGCATTTTTGTAAGAAAAATGTATATTGCAAACTAAAAGATCCAGGATTTTCAATTTTTTTTTAGATATAAAGATATATTCATGAACAACCCGCTGCATTTGTATGCACCTGTCCTAAATCAGGAGCCTGTTGTTCAGTGGTTGTCGTTTGTTGGTGTGGTTCATTAGTGTTTCTCGTTTCTCGTTTTTTATATAGATTAGACCGTTGGTTTTCCTGTTTGACTTGTTTTACACTAGTCATTTTGGGGCCCTTTATAGCTTGCTGTTCGGTGTGAGCCAGGGTTCGGTGTTAAAAGCCTTACTTTGACCTATAATAATTGTTTACTTTTACACATTGTGACTTTGATGGAGAGTTGTCTCATTGGCACTCATACCACATCTTCTAATTTATTATAAGTGGTGAATATTAATCTATCTTTTTTAGTCTTATTGTACCTAAAGATACCCATTCTGGAGTTCTGCATTCCTCTATGTAGTTGTTAAACGCAATGCGATGTAACGCCAAACAGTGATATTCGTAATGATTGTAGCATTTTACTTTTGAGAATATAACTAGTTCAGCCATTTCAGGACATCTTTTAACATAGGTGTGACTTGATCGAAAATAAAATATCTGAAAAAAATTCTACAAATGCAATACATGTATGTATACACATTTATTTTGTAGCAATTTAATTGATGGATTTCTGTGAAGAACCGAAAGTAAATGAGCAATAATTTGATACTTGTACTTGTCTAGTCAAATGATGATTAAATCTGCCATCTATCATGTACAATGATGATAACTTTAGCCTGATTGTCAACATATTTTCAATGAAGAACATTTCAAGAAAAATACATTGCCAGAATTATGATGATACTAAAAATACACTCCCTTTTTAAAAATGTTTACCTTTCCAAAGAAGTTAATCGAGAAAAGGGCATTGGACACACCAAATGTATGAAGTGTTATCTCTTTTTTTATTTAAAAACAAAGTTAAGAACGGGTTTTTGTATTTATGAAGATTGTATAAAAGACCAGCAGAAATCAGCTTCTTTTATAAAAATTCACTATAGTATTCTAGAATATAGTTTCAAAAGCGTACACAAAACGTTTTGTTGTTAACATTTAAAAACAAAACAATTGTTAGTTTCACTTTGATGTGAAAGAATGTAAATTAACAATTTATTCATTGATGTGCAACATAGGTGACTTTACGGTACAATGAAAGTTCTTATGTTTTATTTGTAAGGCGTACTTGGTAGTGTTTATATCTTGGTGATAAATGATAGCAATATGTAGAAAATAGTGTAGTAGGTGGGTGTTAATATTAAATGAAACTTTCAGAATTTATATAATTGATATGGGGGCGCTTCTTCGAGCACATGTTTCAAGATTCATCCTCATTTTGGTAAAGCTGATGAAGGAGGAACATACAGTGGTAATATTCAATTTCGTAAAAAAAATAATCCCCTCCTCCTCCCCAGAATCCCTCTAAAAATAAGTAGTTTCATTTACCATTGAGATTTAGGTATTATGATTTAATTATTTTAAGAAACATGGCATTGGCGGTATCTGCTCCCAATAGTTGAGATGTTACAATATTATCAGCAAAATGTATAGTTAAGGGTAGATAACTCTAAATTATTTGACTTTTCCAAAATTTAGATTTCAATAATTGATGACATTTTTCTTTTTTACTTATCATAAAATATGCTTTTATGGATTGAGATTGTACTAAAAGTATTGTATATTAAAAATTACAATTGTTAGTTGTCATTGTAGTGTATGCTATATTTTATACATGAATCTTTTCATAAGATATCAACATTTGTGGCCGCATTATCATAACTTGTGTTAGTGTTATTTGCCTTCAGCGGACCATAAATTCTTTTATGATACACTGAATCGGCGAAAAAGTACATATTTGTATAGAGTAAAAATGTACACTCACAAATAAGAAAATGCCAGAAAATCCATACTTATCCAAAGTAACCATTTTCAGAAAACTGTACATGTGTTGTCAACTGCAACAGCACAGCTACAAAAAATTAAGCATTATTTTGAATGAAGTAGAATGATTGAATTTTCAACGATGATAAATATATCGCTGGAATATTCATTTGTTTCTGTTCTTTATCCGTCTTTTTTTTCTGGAATAGTTCACTGTGAAAATTGATGGACATGCACAAAGTGGTCGACATACTGTCTTCCAAAATTACAAGTGCATTTATCTTATTCATATTTAAATACACTGCATATTTTTCCAAGGACATAATATGCTCAAAACAGCGTTTTCAGGATTTTATGTTCAATGTTCTTTTGTGATGTTTTAAATGGATTTTTGAATTTACAAAACGCAATAGTCAAATTGTTGCGGAATACAAAATTTTATCTGTTTGCTACAGTAACTGATATCGTTTTGAACATCAATTTAGCTTACCTAAATAGATGAATTTGTTGCAAATGTTACGAAAATTAAAAGAAAAAATAATTTGAGAAAATAATTACTTTAAACTGGGATAAAGAAAATGCAATAGACAAGCATAAATATGTATCTCGATATGTATTTTGTTTATTTACCACTCCTATACAAAGTTTACTGAGGACTGTTCTCCATAATATTTGATGTGCTTAAGCATGTGTTCTCTAAACCAGCGATATCAAACGTATTTTTTAAACATTGCGAACAGACTTCAACAAGGATTTTGGCGTAATCAGCATTTATTTTTTTAGTTGGCATCTTTTTAATTGATTGTTTTTATAACTATTTTTCACATCTCAAACACCCAGTACCGCCCGCCCGCAACACTACCATTAAATAATAGCCGGATTTAAAGTAGGGAAAACCCGGTAAAAGATTCAGCATTGCAATTCTAGAGAGTGATAAAAAGTTCTACTATAAAAAGATGTATAACCACCCCCGCCCCTCCTGAATTGGTTTAAAGCAAAAAGGGAGCAATCACAAAATGTGTTGAACCCTATACGATTTGTTTGAATAATGGAGCAACACTTTACTATGTGATTTGTCTATATGCCTTTTTGTCTTTCTTTGTTGACATATTTGTTTGTTTTATAGTGATTAAGGTTATAACACACTGTTGACTGCTGTACCCCTATTTTTGACATTTTTACCTATTATGTCTGTTTGTTTTGTTCACACATCGTTGTCAATATAATGGAATTTTATGCGACTGTCATACAATTGAGAGGTTTAGCTAGTTATAAAACCAGGTTAAATCCTCCATTTTCTACATAAGAAAATGCCTGTTCCAAGTCAGGAATATGACAGTTGTTATCCATTCGTTTGATGTGTTTGAGCTTTTGATTTTGCCATTTGAATAGGGACTTCCGTTTTGAATTTTCCTCGGAGTTCGGTAATTTTGTTATTTTACTTTTTACCCATGTGCTATATATAATGACATACAAATTTCATTGATTGTTCTTTTAAAACAAATATTGAAGTTGAAGACAATCAAAATATTGAAAAACTGTACATGTTTCAGTAAATTCAACAATTTTTCAATTGGTTGAAAGTGTTTTGCGTAACGTCAAGTGAAAAATATATCATGAAGATTCAAAACGAACATTTCAAAAGACGACGTCAACCAAGATCAACATATTACTATCAAAGGAGCATACCGAGTTTTGAGACTCAACAGTTTTTCTATAAAATATTCTTACCTTCCCAGGATATTGCTTGTCAAATCAGAAAGCCTTCTCTCCGCCTTGTCCATCATGTTCGGAAACTATTATAGCTATGCGCAGAGCTTTCGATAAAAAAAATATAGAATTGTTGAACGGACCGCGTCAAATAATTCATAAACATGTATATAACACAAAACATTTACAATACTGTTAACGATTTATAACTGATATACAAGGAAAAAGCCTAAAATACTATTTTTTGCAAGAGCAAAGAATATTTCAACAACACCACAATTTCAAAGAATATACTTTTATCATTTGTCGTAAATATAAAAAAAAAGATGTCGATTTTCTTTCTGTATAGGAGATACGATTTTGAATCTACTACAAAGAAATTGAATCATTTGGATTAATTTTAGAACACATTAGAACATTGAAATTGATAGCATTTAAAAGACTTAATCAAACACAATCAAAATTTTAATTTCTGATTATGATAAATCATTGTTCTCTAAAATATTTTTATCTGCTCTAAAATTTATTTCTGTAAAGTTAGTTTGATTGTTATTTGTAATCATTCGCACAATTTTACATTACTGAATAATAAAGGCAACAGTAGTATACCGCTGTTCGAAACTCATAAATCGATAGAGATAAAAACAAATCCGGGTTACAAACTAAAACTGAGGGAAACGCATCAAATACAAGAGGAGAACAACGACACAACAAAAACACAACATTAAAATGTAACACACACAGAAACGAACTATAATATAACAATGGCCATTTTCCTGACTTGGTACAGGACATTTTAAGAACAAAATGGTGGGTTGAACCTGGTTTTGTGGCATGCCAAACCTCCCGCTTTTATGGCAACGTCAAACACAACACCAAAACGACAACATCACATGACAGGACCACAATACAAATAAATGGGAGAACATATAGGACAAAGAAACACACGAATAATAGCTGACAAAAGGTACTAGGCTTAAAATTCAATACGCCAGACGTGCGTCTCGTCCACACAAGACCAACCAGTGACGCTCAGATGAAAAAAGGTTTGAAAGCCAAAACAAGTACAAAGCTGAAGAGCACCGAGGACCAAAACTTCCAAAAAGTTGCGCCTAACACGGCAAGGGTTTTCTGCCTGGGACAAGAACAATCATCCTTATTATTTAGAATAATTAATAATTTTGCAAACAGTAAATTTTATAAAATGACTATATAATAGATATACATGATAAAACCGAAGTGGGGACTAACTACAGAATAAAAACGGATACATTACATAAAACAACTTAATCCAACACATACAAATACACAGCCAAATACAAAAAGGTCAAATACACAGCCAAATACAAAAAGTTCAAATACACAGCCGAGTTTGCCAAAGACTCAACGCACAAAGTGACGTCACATTTGTGACCAATTTGTGCTCTTTAATGTTTTGTTCGCTTTGATTTTGATTTTGATTTGATTTTACTGTTGTTTTTTTTTCAGATTAAAGTATTACTTGACCAATATTATGCATCAATGGTGGAATATTAGGGGGTTTGTTGAGCACCATACTTTATTCTTGTGTTACATCGGAGGAAAGAATATAAATTGTATAAAACTTCAAATCATAAAATTCCTCTATACAAAGCATTTATTCACCTCGATCCTATTGCTATTTAATCCGTAATCTAAGTAACAGACAAAGTCAAGATTGTCGCATCTGATTTCCATTAATTTGTCTGCACAATTATATCTATAAAACGAAAATCCTTGTTGATTTTTGTAAAAATTGGAAAAAAAATATTGTTAAATAAAACCGCAGGAAAACAACTGTCATATTCCTAACCTGGCATATTTATTTTCCTAAGAAAATAGTGTGTTAAACATGTATTTCTATCTAGCTAAAACGCCCACTTGTATGACAGTTGTTTAATGTTCCTCAATAGTGCCAAATTGGGTGAGTGACGTAATTGGTTAAAGATGCCATACCTGGGATCCTGCAGCCAAAACTGTGTAAACAAACATAGCAGACGTACAACACTACTGAATTAAACATTTAAACATACTTAAAATCAAATCAAACAAAGACGCCAACAAAACTGATAATGCATAATGACATGTAAACTTTCCCGATACAATTCAAAATAAGTAAACTATAAATACAACGGTATACCAAATGAATACAACACTATAAAAACCACATGTGTCGAATCGCATCTCTGGTCCAATCCGCAGAAGGAACGACAAAAGCCAAAAAACCTGAAAGCTGGATGCACATATACCGAAAGACGATAAGAGTCATACGACCAAATGGAGAAAAATAGTACAAAGACATATAAAGGTAAAACTGTCAAGTAGATCAAATGATACACAGAGTCAGCACCTAGAATCTATAACTCAAGACCATCCTGTATTATTTTTGAAGCAGACCCTGAATAAGTTATTGATACTTTCCAATGAATTCGTGGAGAAATAGGTCAAAACTTTCTTTCGAGTATGAGTTGAGTAATGTTTACTCTATACGCGGATGCAGTTGGTAAATTGCTTCTAAGGTGAGGAAGGGGGTTAAGATGACTGCTGTTATCAAATTCAGGGTATATGTGTTAAATGAGGCAGATGAAGCTGTATATTTGGTGTCTGTAATCTATAGTTCACGACAATTAATGGGACTAATCAGAAAAGTTTGTATCGTTAATGTAAAGAACATCTTCAATATATCTTTAAATGATATAGCTTCTTTGATCTAAGTTAAACACTTACGAAAACAAAAAACGTACACATTAATGCATTTCCAGGGGAAGACCACCAGACCTTTGTGGATGCATTTAGCATTATAAATACATATACATATATATATTCACTTTTAAACAATTGACTGGAGGTGTTATTATCTTGGATTCCTAGTTAGAATTACCTCTTAAAAGAAAACAGGTTTTAATATGGGTCTATATGTATAATATCACTGAAAAAAAATGAAAGCATTATTTTACGTTTTTAGAAAGTTATTGCACGCTTCAGCCAATTACAAGTGCACAATATCGTTAAGGAAGTTGAATCGTCTTGACAGACATGTTTCTTTTTCCGCCTTTTTGGAAATGCAGAAGATTTTTCACAGATTTTGAAGTAGAATTATAACTAATTGCATTCCGATACCAAATTTTTCAAGATCCGATCGCAATGCTTGACCACCGTTAGTTATTCTTTCACGATCATTTTTCTTGATATACCGAATGACACCCGTGTTTATGTAACGTGTTACGTCTTGCTATTACGACAATGATTAATTTTACCAAATCCATATCAACAGTATATTGTCTTTTCTTTATACTGTTCACATATATCTATATCTTATTTTAAAGTCATATTAAGTCCCTTATAAACAAGTGAAATAATGATTTCAAAACAGAAAATAGATTCAATAAAATCAATTAGTATATAAACGGTGAACAATGAGACAAACGACAACACCATCGTTTTACAACGTTTGTATTTAAAACATTAGCAAGAATGAAAAAAAATGAAATAAACACAAATAAGCTTTTGCATATATCATGTTTTATAAATAGTTATATTACAAAAAATATGTTACTTACTTAATCATGCTTTACCTGTCTAGGTCAAATAATCGATATTCACCATAGATAACAATAAACAATTCAACTTCCTTTATACAAAAATAAATTTAAATGTTCGTGTATACATTGCATGACCGACAGAGCTTTAAAATCAATAACAAGTAATTATTGCAGTGCATAGTTTACTAAATTTTATTAACGGCATTGTTTTTGCTAAATCAACCCAAGTTACGTAGAGATTAAGCAACTGCGCGGTAGGTATAGTGGCTGGCTGATATTTTGTTTTTTCGAGTGAATCGGTCCACCATTTTCGAGTGGAATTACATACGATCAAGTAGATTTACTCTTATTTCGCAATAATATGACTTTTATTCAATACTGCCCAACTTATTTTTCATGAAATTTTCATGCGGATTTGAAAACATATTACGTTTAATTGTCTTCTTATTCATTTAAAATCAGGCTTTTTACATAGATATAAAATAATCAACCTATACAAGTGAACGACAATGTTTGGAGGAAATGTGTGTATATACAGCATATATAACGCAAAAACGCGAAATATTTTTTCTTTCCGATTTCGCGTTTTCGCGATTTCGGGTTTTCGCCCTATAGAATATGAAGGGCGAAAACGCGAAATGGCCTTAACCGGCCACCATAGGTAAGAGCTGAAAAAAACAAGTTTGCATAAGACTTTGAATATTCTGCAACACAAAATCCAGAATTGTTTACAAAAGTTAAAATATATTTACGCACGGGAAAGATGCCAAAAAAAAATAAAATATGCGTAGATGACAATGAATAGTAAATCCGCACACACACACACTACTCCTGCCTGCCCCCTCCCCCTCTAATATCAAATGATTGTCCCCTTACTGTTACGTTTAACCTCTTAATAAAACAAATACCGGGGAAATTGGTTCAACCTTGGTCAATTGTCCCTTTGACATGTAACAAATATATTTCCAAATTTAAATCTGTATAATTAATCTCAATAAAACCTTTAGGTCGTCTGAAAAATAATCCACTAGAAACTCATTACTTTAATTAAGATACGGAACAACCCAACAAGAATTGTGTTTTTGTATGAAATACACAGTAAGTACTTTATAACGTATGTGCATGTTCTTGCAAACAATTTCCTGTTGGGTTGCAGATAAGATTTTGACCTGCAGCTCTGCGTCACAAAGAGTGTCTTTTTATGTTGTAATCCGCACAGTCTTCCAACGCTTTTCTTTGAACATCCTCGTTCGATTTGAAATCGCCTGCCTAAACAGATAGAAATATCTGTGTGCGACTTCCCTTGTTTAAACATTTCGTTGATGGCACTTACGTATGCTTCTAATTCCGCCATGGTATCTTTCTCATTAACTTTCGCGGCTGTTATTTTGTCAAAAAAACTCAAAATAATAAAAAAAGTGCTTTACACAAACATTAAACGAACTATGTTTATATTCTTATTTTCGAAAACTTTGTAACAAAAATCGACAACATTGTTATAAGGGAACAACCATTTAACTACAAAAAACGGGGGGGGGGGGGGGGGGGGGGGGGGGGGGTATTCATGTTTATTTCCTAAAAAAAATTCTGATCCCCAATTTGATGATGAAAAAAAATATTGTGGTCAAGCAGATGACAATAAAAAATATTCTGAATCCAGATTTTCCCCATACTTTATAGTGTTAAATTTTGAAAAAAATAATTTGATTGATAGCGTCGAAAAACTAAACAAAAATGTTCTGACTCGGACAAAAAACCATACCCCCTCCCCTTGAAGTTAAATGATTGCTCCCTTATTTCATTCTCTGATGCACCATTAAATAAATGAGAAATGACAACATTTTTCATTTTTGATTGAGAATTAAACAGCGTGGGAAAGAGAAATTGAAGACACATTCGTTTTTTTTTTTTTTTTTTGTGTAATCGGAAATGAAAAACGAAAACACTTCCGTTTTTCGGTTATTTTGTTTTGTAAAATAAAAAATGAAAAATGAAATCATTTTCGTTTTTCGTATTTTGTTTTGTAACATCAAAAATGAAAAATGAAAACGCTTTCATTTTTCGTTTTGTGAAATGGAAAATAAAAAATAAAAACATTTTTGTTTTGTGAAAAGAAAAAATCAAAAATCAAAACACTTTCGTTTTCGTTTTTGTTTTTTTCTAGAAATAAAGTTTATTCACTCGATGACACCTGGAAGCTACTATAAAAAAAACCCGTACTATTCTCGAAAACACCCGGACAAAACAAAATTTTTATCTCAAAATGACCGTAGTCGTCCATATACAAGTATTTCTTTGAAGAGTCTCTGATTGTAACTAGTAATAAACTATATGAGCGCATTTACTTTGATTTATACATTCGTATGTGTATTAAAATGACTTTAATTCTCATTTTTTAATAAAATCATTTTCAGGATATAATATACTACTTTTTAACTTGTATGATTTCAAATAACATAATTCACTAGAAAAACACGATCACAGCCGGACACTATACCTTCCGTGAATAGATCTATAATTATATAACTTAACTGTTTTGTTCGTTGTTCGTGTCATGTATTATACCCTGTGTGTTTACAGTTAAGATGGCAGCGAACTGATGAATCATTCTTTCTTAAGAATATTTTTGCTGTCAACGATGCTTTACAAGTTATTACACCATGCATCATTGAACAGAGCATAACAATCAATGCTTTACCCGGATTTTAAAATTATGTTTTTTTGTCGTGGCAGTGCTGTGTCTTATTCCAGGAACGTTGCGTTCCTTCTTGTCTGAAATTAATAAGATACATTTAGGAATTTAGGAATATAAAAGTATATGTTAAATTTGCAACAATGTAAAGGCAACCAAACGTCATAATCAAATTCCGCAAATAAAAGAACATATTGAGATAAAATAAAATACGCGGTTCATGAATTATGAACATTAACATGAAAGTGTGAAGGAATTAAACTAGTTTCACCGTTTGAAACCGCATTGAACATTGCGTGTTTTAATCAGTAAAACTCACCGTGTAGAATGCCAAATTCGGGAATTCAGAATTGTTAGCACCAAATGATGTATTGCACAGAAGACATTAAATCACGATAATCTATTTCAAGCAAGCAGAAGCAAACGCCCCAAATACTCTGTTTTCTCAAACAACCATCCTCAGTTTTCTGTGTCATAGATTTTGAGACTTCAAATGAAAATTTCAGTATAAAAAACAACTTTCTGGCGACCTATTTTCGTATATTTTATATAAAATTTAATTCATATCATAGAATTATACATAATGCAAGCTTCCCAGTAAAAATAAATTTTAAAGTTATTTATCAATCTAAATATTATATGTGTCGCACGGATGGCAGATTTCGAATCTCAAAGGTGCAAGGCATGATTCATTAAACCATTTGAGATTTTGCCGTCGTCGTGGCCAGGAAACATTCCACATTTTCATATAGTTTTCAAAAACCTTTTTACCAATTTCAAAAAATTTGATATGAATTATGTATGAAAAGTCGCCTTCGATTGGATAAAAAAAATTACCAATGCAAATCTTTTATTGGCTAATTTTGAAAAAAAAGTCTTCTTTACTTAAACAATAAACATGTTGCTTTAAAACTTTATGATTTTGATAACCACCGACAAGAGTCCGGATTCAATGTTGATTTTGCGACATTTTGTAACATAAAATTCTACTTGAAACCCCAGGGAAAACACGGTTTCATTATTTTTATCGAGTGGCAAACATGACGGGAGTCGTAACAAATATTAAATATTTTGATAATTTAACTTCTTGTTTGAACGCACGAAGATCATATTTATCGGGAATGATTCTACAAGAAACCCTTTGTTCGGATGAGGAAAACGTTTAGCGGCTAAATTGATATCCCTTTAATGCCTTCTTTTAACATTTCTTTTTCGAAATACGCCACATGCTTCTACTATTAAAATTCCCTTTTGCAACTAAAGTAATGTACTAGTTGAGCCTTTAGTTGATCTATCTTTTGATTGTGCAATTTTGTTATTGGCAATTCAAGACTTCTTATAAAAATATTATATCAACCTTACCAATCAAATATACATTTCGACTATCAATGTCTCTTCAGCGATGCTCGATGCCAAACTATTTGAAAGTCAAAAGCCTAATTCAAATGCTGATCATACCAAAAAAGGACATAAATTCTAATTTAGAAGAATACTTCTATACATGTATACAATTTCGTTTTTCTTTATATATATTCATGTGTATAAAACAATTTTTGTTATATAATGTTCGTTATTTTAACTCACCTGGCCGAAATGCCAAATGAGCTTTTCGCATCACTTGGCGTCCGTCGTCCGTCATCGTTAACATTTACAACATCTCCTCCTTTGAAACTACTGGACCAAACGTAACACAACTTGACCAAATTTATTATTAGGGTATTTAGTCTAAAAAGTGTGTCCAATTACCGCGCCTACCAACCAACGTGGCCGACATGGCTAAAAATAGAACATAGGGGTAAAATGCAAGTTTTTTTCTATAATCTTGAAAACCGCTATGAATAGAGAAAATCTAAATTAACTATTTACAAAACTTTGAATTTTTGAAATACTAAGGCTTTTCTACCTCAGGAACAGATTACCTTAGCTATATTTGGCAAAACGTTAAGGAAATTTTGGTCCTCAATGCTCTTCAACTTCGTACTTTATTTGGCTTTTTTTTTTAACTTTTTTTGATTCGAGCGTCACTCATGAGTCTTTTGTAGTCTGGCGCAAATACAAAATTTCAATCCTGGTATCTATGATGAGTTTATCTGACAGAGGAATTTCAGGAGGTCAACAATGATGTAACAATGCATTTCCAACCAGAAGTTATGATGCTAGTAAATCAAAAGGTTAGATATATTTTCATGTAATTTAAACGTAATTATCACTTTTATTCAAATATAAACAAGAAAATACTCACATTTATGTTGTCAAAATCATGACAAAAAGGGAACGGCTGAATGTAATCTTGGTCTTAAAAAATGTTGAATTGATAATTAAAGTAACACTTTATAAAATAATTGCGTCCGAAACGTTTTTCTGGATAAATTTTCATCAGGAACTCTCAAACCTAAAGCTTGACAGCCAAGGATTTATAAATATCTGAATATTT